GGAAGAAATACTGAAGATGCTTTATATGCAGTTTTATAAAGAAATCCATAAAGGATATACAGCATTAAGTATATATCTTGATTTAGCTAAAGTTTTCGATACCATAGATCATAGTTTATTAATTAAAGTTTTTACTAGTAACGGCATAAGTAGAATGTGTTTAAGGTGGTTTAAAAGCTATCTTAATAAAAGGAAACAAATAACCAACATAATTGGTATGTTGGGTCAGAAAAATGAAGTTTTGTATGGAATACTTCAAGGAAATTTCCTAGGTACAATCCTGTTTATTATGTACATAAATAGACTATGCGATATGAATGTTGACGGGCAAATAGTTGTATATGAGGATGATACTTGTCTGTTATTCTCTGCTACAAATTAGGACAGAAAACCGAATTCAACTTCAATAAAGTAATTAAGTGGTTAAATATTTAACAACTATCTTTAAATATTAACAAAACTATGTTTATGTGTTTTTCTATAAACAATATTTTACATCAGTTTGAAAAAATCGATATACACACAGTATAATAATTTATTCTAACGCATCCTCTTTTAACTGCCTTTTGTAATTAACATAGTTATTAATACTTTGTATGTATTAATATGATAATTAATTTCTTTTCATTTTTTCTATTACTATAATAAGATATTATTTAGTATTCTAGTACTATATTATAATATTTATTGTATAACTAATTATTATTAATTATTAATAATTTATATTACATTTGGATATAGGCGTAACTAGACTTCATCCACAGTGGCAGCCTAGCTAATGACCGGCGCCACTTAATGAACCGGAAAAATCTTTTTTAATAGGGTGGAAGTTAGTCCCCCCCCCATCCCCGATTAAATATTTTTATAATTAAAAAATAATAATTTATAATTATTATTGATATTATTATTTTATAATTATTTATAAAAAGTCTGTATTATCTATTTATAATCAATAATGTACAGTATTTTCAGTACCTTTAAATTTAACTACGGAAATATTATTCATGTACAGGCCTGGATTACACCGCTATATAATTAAGTAATTAATAAAATATATGATGTCTTATAGTATATATAGAATAATAAAAATGATATACTGATAGAGAATATTATTTTGTTTAAGCAATGCATAAGAATTTTTTTTAATAAAAGTTTTAAGCCACTAGACATAAAATTCGGTTGACCGGCACCTGTCGAAAATTGCAGGGGCACACCAAACACCCTAGGCTGCTACCACAGACACGCCCATGCATTTGGAGTATAGCGAGAGATCTATTGTATTTATTATGATGTACCTATATTTTTATTTTTTTGTGTGTCTGTGAACAAATTTTCTACCAGAAATCCAGGCACGTAACTAGGAGTACACAATTAGGGTGGTCTACTTATCACCAATATTTTTATTGGGTGACAAACATTTACTTCCCTTCTCCCTCATTAGGCACTAATTTAATTTATAAGTATGTTTATATTGTTTATAACATAATTTTAGATTCTGGATTGAACAATGATGCTATTTTTTTATTCAAATTTGAGGTTAAGAAGAAACATACGTACCTAAGTCTCTATCTTTTCAATATATTATTGTAACAGATTTTACTATTTTTATTCAATTATTTGAGCCTTGGGTATATCAACATCTTGTTGATATACATATACATTATCTTAATGGAGTGGTCTGTAAATATGTTGGGTGCCCAGGCCACCCTTTATAGTTACGTGCCTGCAGAAATCTTACTCCGATATATATAGTATAATATCGTTTCTGAATGAAAATGTTGTACATGCACCACGAGAATACGCCTTAGACTTCAGTGATTTCAATTTTAAACCCCTCCTCAACCATTTTTATACTAAGATTTCATGATTTTTACAAACGAGGTTAGATTGTTATCGAACATGTCTAAAGATTATAATAATACGGTGAGTACATATCGAGTAAAGTTTACAATTCCATTTTCGTTCGAATCACTGGAGTTTTAATTTTTCTCGTTTGATCGTAATGCGTGTGTAATATTTAAGTGGTAAAAGTTTACCTGATGCGTCTTGCAATCTGATGACATAATATTTTTATCATTGGTAGGTATAGTGTTTTTAATACTTAACGCCACCGCCGCTGTGAAAAAGTAAATTCCAAACGAATTTTCACTACCTACTGTTCTTTAAGAACCGTAAAATACGGTTTTAAAGGAGCTACTGAATTTGTATAGTACATAAAAAAAATCCGGACATAATTTACACCGTGTGTAGGCCATTATCATCGATGAACGGTTTAAAAGGTTTAGAATACAAGTATAATATAAGATATAAGCAAGTTTTAACCGTAGTGTTTTGTTTTTTATTTTTGTAGCTATGGGTTAAGTTAGGTTACTTAACTCAAAATTAAAGTATTTTTTAACATTTTGAAAAAAAGCTGTTGCGGGGAATCTGAAAATCTTTTAAAATAGAAAATATCGCCTGGCGAAAAATTCGTATTTTGTAGGGTACGCGATGTGAATAATATGAACCTTTTTAAAAATCGAAAATGTATACTTTACGATTAAAAAGAAAACGCGCACACATTTTAGTAAAACTAATGTAATATAATAGCTTCTTCGCTATACTTGTAGAAACTAAAACATTATTATTCTCGGTGTAGGATATTCTACAAAATAAAACATAAACAATAAACTGGTTGTACATTGTATGCAAATTTAATATTATGTTGTAATCGTAACTGAGAAATATTATTAGTATTTATTTTTTTTATTTTACGATAAATTTATTTGTTAAATTCCTCGACTGGTTTTTTTAAAAATTTGTTTGCACCGGATAATCTAAAATTAAATTTAAAAAATAATAACTAATGGCTCGAAATGGTCGAAATGAATACGCTAGTAACATTACTACTGTAATTGGTATTCCTGAAAAAACGGATTATTCCATTGATGTTTTCTCGTATTCGTAAATTTTTTTTATACATCACCATCAGACACCTAAACGAGACGAGTGTTGTAAGTATACCTACAATACTATAGATATACCGACCTATAGTTTATTGCACTACTGTCCTACTTTTCGACTTTATAATATTATATTATAAATACGAGCAAGTATATATATAAATACTAAACCGCTTTCCCGGTAGAATAATGACACAACTGCAAAAATTTAAATTTTACAGGAGAGCCAAAAAACCAAATTATTACTGAAATGTTAATAGTTAATGAATTTCCACAACAACGTAACTGCCCTCTGGCAGTCCAAAACACAATTACAGTTACGTCATTTTCATACCTTATGCGTTTGCAATACATCGCTGTACGTCTAAATACATCGATGTTGAAAATTGAAAATTGTGCAGTTGTGTCATTGTTCTACCAGAAAAAGCAGATTACAGTCGAAACCAAGATGTACATCGATATCGTATAGTATACAATCAGTGGAGTGTCCAGGAAATTTCACCGAGAGAGGATGTACAACAAAGTATAATAATCACTGTTCATGAATACACCGTAGAATTGTTTATAGTAGTGTTATATACCTAAACCGACTGTAGTTACGCGCATTTAAAATCCGGATCCAAAATTAGTCAATCCGTATACAGCAAATCGAACGTTTTTCCATTTTCCATGTAGTAACTTGACTGAAATGTATTATAATTTCAAGATAAAAAAAATTAATAAACCGATAGTTTTCCAAACAAACGAAATTAATTAATATTACGCTTATTAATTAGTAACTCATTTTTATTATAGAAGACATTTCTTTTTTGTTTAATAATCATAAAGAAAACTACATACTTATATAATTATGGTTGGAATATATTTGCTTTAATAAATCGGTTGACGGAGAAGTTAACTTTTGTTAACAGCATCGCTTTTAAAACGGACACTTGAATCAGTGACAAAGTTCGTTCGACAGGAGCATTCAGAGCAAGCAACCAATAGTAGGTACATACTCAACGGTCTTCCGAAAAATGTTGTAATTTTAATTGTTGTTTCGGAAGTGGTGAAACACATGTATTCAACAATGCAAATTTGATTTCATTACGTCATTGTCCACCTTCTGAAAACTGGACATTTTAGCGTACCGGAGATTTTCGAACGGGACAATTGTGATAACGGGCAGAAATAGTACGAAAAAGATATTGAGCGGAAAACGCACGGGCGGAAAGTGCACGCCCCCAAAACCGGGACTGTCTTGTTCCGTTGGAAGACACACAAGCGCCAAAATGGTATAAAAAAAAAAAAAATTATCGTACGAAAGCCCCAAAATCCTAGGCACCTGTGTGCCACGGTTAATAGATAGTTAACAGTCTGTGTGATATTATATTTAGTACTATATCGTTCAAAAACTCCAAACGTTCAATCTTAATCGATTATTGACAATTTTAAATATTTTTAAATAATTACATAAAATGTGTAAAATATTAATTTCGGCGCAAATGATATGCCATTTTTGCACCTTTGACGCTGATGTTACGTAGCCAACTTAGGTAGGTATAACCCTAACCTCGATCCCCCGCGAACGCCGCCGGGTACGACATCGCCACCGTTGGAATATAATATTGTTGTTATTGAGAGATAACATAAGATAATATAAGTAAAAACGTAAAATACGCACGTCTAATACAATATAGATAATCGATCGATTAATAATAATTTTAAAATATCTACTTACTTTTTTTTTCCTTATCGTTTATAATAATCGAAATATTTGTTATTATAATAATTATTTTTTTTTATTTTTTTTTTCTCGAACGTTCCCATTACGGGGATATTCCGCGGTACCTACTCGGGGATTCATAATATTATCGTATTATCGGTTTGTAATAATAATTCGCGTACGGCGGTGGCGGCGGCCTTAACGGCACGCGGGGCAAAAAACGTAAAAAAAAAAAAAAGACTTTCACGACCGCGGTCGCGTTCGCCTCTCGTCCTGTGGCTCCACCTATCGGTACGGCGCGCGCGCCGACGTCCGCGACGCCCCGGCGAAACGCTGTGTATATAAGACAATAAATTGACGCGCCGCAGCCAAGTATCAGACCGAGTCTTGTTCCGTCACCGTTACGGACAGTCGTACTTTTATAATATATGTAATAATATTTCCAGAGGGAAAACAAAACTGTTATTATTATTATTATTATATTTCATTGTAACATTTACATATTAATTTTCTTAAATTTTTCCCTCCCTCCCCCTCTCGATTTATTATAATATCCCAGTTACTATACATTTAACATTATATTATATTCGCACCAAACACGTAACCCGAGCACATTTTCCGTTCTTCCGAAAGCGAATGGTGCGGCTCGCATCGCAGTCCGCCACGAGGACCATCATGTCGACCTCACTCCGGCTCCTGGCGATCGCATACCTGATCACGTTGGGTAAGTAATCACGTAAAATCGTGCAGCGTTCGTTCGTTTGTACGTTTTCTAACGTTACCGTATAAGTATTAGTTTAACGTGTCGTGTAATAACAACTGGTAAACAATAATATGAAAATTTGAAATGACATTTGAATATTATACTATAATAGGTCCTTGCATATAGTGCCCGCTGTATAATGCGTTAACCGGCGTTATCGGGTAGACAATGACGTCTACGATTCGCGAAAAGTTAGAAAAATAAAAAAAATAAAAATTTAGCGATGAAAAGTGTTTAAGTCGTCCATAATAATGCAATAAGAATTACGCGTGCGCGCGATAAATTCCTCTACTTTTGTAATATTAATTACTGTGTATAGAAGAATATTATTCCTTTAACCGGGGTTCTCGACTGCCGTCCGTTTTTTTTTTTTTTTTTATAATATTATATTGTTATAAAATATTTTTTCCAAGAATTGTTTAAACCAATATCATTTATCTCTACCCCCTCCCCCCCAACCCCCCGGGAAATGTTAAAACCGAATTATTATTAAAACACAATTTCAGCAGTGCCGTATAAAAAGGATGTACAAAACTGCGTTTTCGAAAGGCATGTGCACTGCTGAAGTACCTAGTAATAAAGTATTACGTTCTTTCTCTCTCTCTTTCTCTCTCTAATCGCCTTAATCGTCTAATCGTATTAAATACTCGTAGATGTGACTAGTATTGGCTACACCGTAAAACGCGTTACGGGTGAAAACGGTTAAAAACATTACTAACACGAATATTCGACCGAGAGTATAATTATTTTTGAAAACTAGTTACCATTCCATACGACAGACCAGTCGTAATAATATTAATTTCTCATAATCTGTATAATGAAATTTGGATTACGTTTTCGGGGGCAAACTACCGGCGTATCATCAAGACGCCTAATTGTACATTAACGCCTTGCACGACGAGTGCAACACGTAATCGTCGAAAACGAATAAATCTTTCTTCACTTTTTTCATTTTTGTTTCTCTCCGTACGTTCGCCACGACAATAATATAAATTACGCAACGCCCGAGTGCAACAATATTAAATATTTTCATTGCGAATGGCTGCAACGACGATCATAATATTATAATATTAATAATAACAATGATAAAATAATGCCATGGGTACCCGTTAAAGACCACACGCGCCGCGACCAAATCGTAAAAAAAAAAAAAAAAAAAAAAATTATAAAAACCGCAATCGTATATTATTATATTATAATCGTGCGATTGTGTGTAATGTAATTATAATGACACGATGACACGATGACACGACGATTATATTTTTGCCGTTGGCGACATTTGCTCGAGTATATCCCGGCGCGGTACCAAGAACATACGCGTCCGGTGGAACGAGAAGGTAGGGAAGAGAAGAGAAGGAGGGGAAAAGGGCGGAGGTCAGTGCGTACAATCGGCGACGGGACGGGTAAGAGGTAGGGGGAAGGGGGAGTGAATGCGAGACAGGGGAGGCGCGAAAATATTTCCAATTTCGAAATACCGTACGCCAATAATATAATACTGCACTAATACCGCGTATCACGATGAATTGGAGGTGGCGACAGGAGGGGAGGGGAGGAGACGCGTTAACGCGTGATTTTAGCCTCGAACGGAATGTCGCCCTCCCCTCACCCTTACTTGGCTACCCCTCCTCACCACTACTCGGCTACTCCCCCCCCCCTCACGCCGGACGGCTCTCTCACGCGATTATTTTCCCACACGGTTGAGCCCGTCGCCGGACAATGATAATGTTACACGACGACGACGTTGATAACAATAATATTTTGACTGTAATGTTCGCGTACGCCGCGTATTATCGACTCGCGTATTACAAATATTATTGTCCGTGTCCGCGCGAATAATAATATTATTGTATATCGATGCGAACAATACGTCCGGTCCGCGGGGCCGACAACCGTGCCTAAAGATGATTTCACGTCGTACGCGTCCCCAGGTGTACAATAAAATATAATAATAATAAAAAAAAAAAAAAAAAAAAAATGTTTCCAGGTATTTATATCATGATCGAACGCGCGCGAACCGATTTTTTAAAATATTTTTTCTATTAATTCGGTTATATTATTATCGAAACCCGGATACACAGCTTATTATAGTGCACCAGCGTCACGTGGACACACCTACGGCCACCGCACGTCCCACAGAATTCCCGCGTGTTTCATAATAATTCAACAACTCTTGCTCGGCGATTTTTCCGCGTTTTTCTCTCGGCACCTACCCGGCGATCAATATTCGGATCCATTACCCCCGTAACGGACGAGAAAAGTACCTACCGGCCCGAAATACCGTGCACGGTGCCGTACGAGCGGAAACGACGAGAGACGATGAGTCATCCTTTCGACTTCCGTTTTTCCGACGATATTTCCCCCCCTCCCTCGCCCGCGAATCGGCCTCGGTGTCCGACAATTATACCGTAGTAATTTCGTACGTGTTTCTCCGTGTAACGTTTTATCTCCTCCATGATCCTCGCGATATCACAACAACGACGACGATAATATACGTAACGCGTATCTGTAAAAATGCTGTTCGCGGGCGATTTATCATCATTGTTATCATATTGTTATTATCGTAGTCGTCCTCGTCGGACCGTCACGATAACGTAGAAACCAGATGAGCTTTTATATTTTTTCTCTTCTTCGTTTCGTTTACTGCGAATAGCATTTTTTTTTTTTTTATTCGTTCGTATCTTACATTTTAAACAAATCCGCGAGTGTATCAATGCGCGAGGTTACACGCCTACATTATTATTTATCGACGGACCGGGCGCGCTGGTCGTTTTCGAATTTCTTTACGTCCACGTGAAAGTAGTATATTTTTGACGTGCATGCGCAAGCGGCGGGTAGGTATCAATTTGCGTTTCACGCGCGTTTTCAAATAAGACGACAACGATGACGATAATAATAATAATGTAACGGGTATTATAATGTGATATTATAATATAGGTAACCTACGCGATACTTCCATAGACTTAGTAATACATCTAGACGGAACGTTTATACACCGAGGACTGTAGTAGGCGTGGTCGGTCCGAACGGATCAAGAGAGATAGGCCGATATAAAGCCTAGTGAGTGAGAGAGAGAGAGAGAGAGAGAAAGAGCGACTTTGCACTCCGAGGACAGCCAATTAAAACAGTCCGTTTACTGTCTCACGACTATTTCTGTCCTCGAAATGAAAAACTCCACCCACCGGAACGCGTTTTGATGCCGAATGTTCCGTTTAAATGTATAAAAGTCTATGGATACCTGTGTGGTATTATTATACCTAATTTATTGTTATCACGTGGGGTTTTCGCATGTCTCGAGTTCAACAGGCTGCTGCTGCTGCCGCTCAGTCGTCGGAACGTAAACACATCACAAACAAATCACGTCCTGACGTCCGACCCGAATTTCCGTTTGGATTTTATCAATTCCGGTCATAATAATATGCATACACGTGTACACTCTGACAAAATATAATTACAAACGCGCCACCGTACGCCATTGACCCCGAAACTTACTTTTCCCCGGCACATCGGCGCACGTCTCCGGCGTTTCGTCCATCGCCCGCGTCGGTTTACAACAATAGTAAATAACTATTGAATTAAACGCGTATATCAATCCGTATTAATAACCATTTGGCGTTTAAATCGATTCAACATAACTTTATTTACTGTTCCGAGTCGTCCCGGTTTATACAAACGAACGGAACAATCCGTTCCGTTAGCAATCCGCTCAGCGGCACTAAATTACGAGTACAAATAATACGCCTATATATTACGACATGTTATTATAGTTTTGGACGATTCGGCACTAAAACATATCGAAAGTTCTGTAAAGCCGTCTGCAAAACTTCGTATATTGTTCCGGTAACATGCGAATCATATACATCTATAATATTATCGTTTTTGTACTCGTTCTGAAGTTATTTTCAATAGATTTGCAAATTATAAACGTAGGTACCCGATATACGCGTGTTAATATTTTAACGATATTATGTATAGGGGAACGAATGTGATATATTTTTATGACGCAGAATTGTACGGTTGTTCGTACCATTGAATCTGTTGGCGAATAGAGTCAGTTAAAATGGAGGGCCGTTTACTATGTACTATCCGCGAAACGAAATATTATATTATTCATTACTTCTTTAATAATTTTGAAAATTAACAATTTAAGGTCGTATTAAATCAGTAAATATCCAATATTCTCGTCGAATTATAAATTGTTATACATTTTAATAAAACGTGTCGGAAAATAGTCTCCATAATAATATGTTAATATTTATTACGAAACGATGCGAATGAAAGAAATAGTTGACAGTTTCATTACCATTACAAAAAAAAAAAAATCGTAACCCGTATGTCATATATAGCTGATATCGGTTAGTAAAAGTATATACGATACACAAAACGAGAAACCCGAATATTATTGTGTTTCGGTCCGCTAGAAAACAAAAAAAAAAACAATATAATTTGAAAGTAATACGATTAAAAAATATAGGTATTACTTAATAAATATAATAACCACACCGATCGACGCAGTTATAGGATTTTACATAATTTTAGCAAAAAAAAAAATTTGTTTCTTTTTATCAAACCGATTTTCATTAAAAATTATTTCATCGAGACGGCGGGTGTCTATTGCACATCATCATTAGTGTTTAGCTCGGCAATTTATAAAAATATAATAAACGAATTTTTTTTTTGTTTTTTTCGTTGTTTTTTCACCTAGGGTCTTGTGATTCGATATTTTCGCGAGTCAAACGTCAACAAGCGGCGACTAGTGAACCAAAAAAGGAGGAGAGCTTCGAGATCGAAATATGCAAAGACAAAGATGCAGGCGAATGGTTTCGGTTGACGGCCCAGGAAGGCGACAGTTGTCGTGACGTCATCCAGTGCACATCGTCGGTAAGTGGAGCGCGAGACGCGTTGAAATATTCGAAACTCAGAATAATAATAACGATGCAGTACATACACGATTGTTATTATTATTGAATTTTACATAACAACTGAATAATTTACATGCGATGTTGCTGCTCGCGCTCCAATAAAAATCTGTACGCAATTATTTACATAATAATCGTTATAGCACGCACCCATTACACCAGTTGCACCGTGTCCGCGGTCGAAATATTTTTTTATTGATGCGCATCGCGGTAGAACATTGTACAGGCGACGGGTGCAACGCTTTCACAACACTATATTCGAGTACAAAAATATTATTATATATTTTACTACGATTCCATATGCCTATATAGGTTCGCCCGCCACGCGGAAAAGCGAATCCATTAATTATATATTTTTTTTTACGTCGCGAAATATACGGTAGACATTTAAATAACAATCGCCTAATAACATCTGGGAAGACGAAACAATCGGCGGTTCCTAAAGACGTCAAGCCGTTAACCACCTGTAGCTATACACATTAGTTCAATATACGCGATTGGAATCGTCGGGATTTTTTTGCATCCGGAAATCTTAAGTTTAACCCTGAAAACGAAAGTCGAATACATTTTGGACGACCGAGTTCACGCGACAGACTGTGTATAACAATACGATAATAATATTATGTCGTATACGACATGTATGGTTTAACAATAGTCTTAAACAACGTCTATATATTATGGTACAATAATTATCGTAACCTTGATTTAATGAACTCCGGCACGGTTTTATAATTAGTTTCTTTTCTATTAATTCTCTATGTCCACGTGTAATATTGTCGATGTCATTACAACACTATTACCAAAACGTCTGTTGCCCGTTTAATTATCGTTTATAAATAACTTCGATTAGCGAGCGAAGCGGTGATTTATTTGAATCGCGTTTCACTGTTACGACCAAATAATATTAAACAAAACATGGTGTCGTCGAGAAAATCGGAAAATGATTTGTATTCGTCGTCTCGTTTTGCACCGCCCGAAACCTGTCAATAAAATAGTCGGCTATTGACTCGGACATTTTCGTCATTATTTGTAATATTTTCGACTGCGGAACCGAGTTCAATACATAGGTACCTACTGCATTTTCACACAGAATTCACCGTGATAAATAATTAAAATCTGGAACGATGATGAACAATTAACCGTCGAAAATTCGGAATAATAATTGATTATAATATAATAAACGCACGAATTATCGTACCTATATTATATTGTCTACACTATATAGTTTTGAAGTATATAGTATGTCAGCAAAGACGAGATACATTTTAAATGTGCATTTTTACTTTGTGGGCCATTTCCAAAAAATGCTCCCATCACAACATTTTTATAGTTTCACATAATAATATCGATAACGAATCAATATTATATTGTGAGTATACGAACCTCAATAAATTTTATGACACTCAAACCTGTCGGTTTTTCGACTGAAATTGTATTTCTTATAATATCCGACGAGCCGATCAAATATTATTGTATCAAAATAAATTCTTCTTCTTAGCTTAATAAAACGGACCATTTTAAGATTCTTTGCCGCTTCTACAATATTATTATTCCTCTCTGTTTTTTTTGATCGATGCTGATGTTGAGCGTCGAATTTTTTTATATAATTTTCTGTATATTTTCCTTTCGAAACGCAAGATAGAGACCCAAAAATTCCAGAAGCTAATGAAGCGATTAAACTCTTCGACTATCAAATACTTTATAATTGTAATTATTACTTTTCAGGGATTGCAAGCTATTCGTTGTCCAGCTGGTTTGTATTTCGACATCGAAAAACAAACGTGTGACTGGAAGGCCGCGGTTAAAAATTGCAAGTTGAAGAATAAAGAACGAAAAGTCAAACCACTATTGTTCACTGACGAACCATTGTGTCAGGTACTGGATAAAATAGATTTTTTATGGTGCTTATTGTTAGGTTATGTTAGCACGTCCACGTAGCATTATATGCGAACTAATATTTTAGTTGACACCGAAAGATTTTTTTTTTTTCACTTTTAAATTATGTTTTATTCTATATAGGATTAAATTATTATTCTACTCGGTTTTTGTACTACGGTAAAGTTCAAATTTCGATTTGACGTCATGTGATTATTAAATAGAAATTGCTCAACAAACACACATTGTTATTTCAATTGTATCGAATCAGGTGCATATAGGTATTAAAAATTAAAAAATATAAAATCGTACAAATGTTTAAACGTCTATATTGTAGTCGTTCTTCAATTTCAGAGATCCACGCACCAGTCAAATTGATTTAATTTTCGAAATCTCAATATATTTTCTCAAGCATTTAAAATCGATACCATCGCTACATAAAATTAAAAAAAAAACCCTGTAAGTTTATGTTAAATATATTATAATATAATTTTTATAGGACGGAGAATTGTCTTGTGGTGATAAATCGTGTATCGAACGAGGACTGTTTTGTAACGGAGAGAAGAACTGCCCCGACGGTTCGGACGAAAATTCGTGCGGTTTGTACAAAATTAATAAAATTATACTATTTCCATATTGATTTATTAACAGTGGCGTGACTAGGAATTTTCAACGGGAAGGGCGTAGAAAATAATTGTCACGATTCGCGGAAAAATCGTAGAAACAATGAAAATTTTAGAACCAAATCCAAAAAAGATAATTTTTATTCAATAAATTAATTTTTTTTTTCCTTTTAACTTTGCTGAATTAAAAAACATCAAGATAAATTGCTAAATAATCACTCATAGTTGTTATATTTTAAAACGACTAGAAGGGAGAAAAAATAAGTCCTATCATCTTCCATTGTAGTGCACGCCACTGTTAATAAAAAAAAAAAAAAAAAAAACGATTGATATTTTAAAATCTGCAGATACAAAAAAAGTTATATTTTCAAGAGCTTACCTATCTTCATGCTTGCAAAGTAATCAAAATCCATAATATAACCAATTATATTGAGTTCCCCGTTAGATAATATAATGTACTAGTAGTATTTGATATTATTATTTTATTTTTTTTATGGAATTTGTTATCATTATCATACGAGAAATGTCTACTACTATAAGTAATTATACTTTACAAATTCCAATCTAGTTATTAGATACCTATTTTAAGTGTACCTACGATTAATTATACATTTTTTTTTCTCTCCGAATGCGTGTAGATAACACTTTTTACCGACCTATAACAGCCAATATAGGTAATTATAAGGTAAAAATAAGCAATATATTTTTGTAATCTAAATTTATGTATCGTTTTCTGCAGACTAGGAATTTTCGATTTGAAACAGATAAAAAACTTTGAAATTTAATAATACTCCGTGGTTAAAGTGTGGTGGGGAGATAACGGAGTACGTTTTATTCAGTACCTTTTAGGTTAAATCTTCGAAGTCCGAGGACGCTTTAGTCACTAAAACATAAAACTCTAAAAAACTCGAATTAGTTATTATTAATCAAATTTATAATTTTATAATTGTATAACTTATAAAATAAATTCTTTAATACCTATTAAATTATACGTAATCGGATTCTGATTTTCTTTACTTTTATTAAACGGGCATATGTATAGTATACTATTCGAGGGGGTGCAGTTTATTTTTAAACCCCTATTAATATACAATTATTGTGAACAAATGTGTATGAGAGAAAAACAAATTTTGTCTCCGTGAAGGGGTTTCCTGAAGTTTTGGTTAGATTTAATAAGTTCTCGAGAACGGCACTCAATTTTCGGGGAGCATAATCCTCTTCAAAGTTTTTCCCACTTTAACCACTGATATTACGTGAATTAATCCGTTAACATTTTTGTATAAAACGTATAGCGTATTATATAATGTTCTTTTCTCTATGATATTTCAAAAATTCCATTTTATTCATTACGTCTTCACATTTATATAAAAAAATAAAAAACACCGAAATATTTAGTGCGAGTCGAAAATATGTTTTTATTCAACTATAGGTACTATATCTAATCCGACGTATGACAAATTAACAACTACGTGATTTTTTATTAAATATTTGCGTAATAACTGCCGCAGCTAGTTGTCGTTTCTTTTTAATATAATCACTTTGATTATATTATTATTATCTTCCCAGTTGGGTATATAATATATTTAGACAAAAAACGTATATATTTTGGTAATTATTATCTTGTCTAATTATATAAACCAGTGTGGAGAAAATGTACATAACGATTCGATTAAAACCAATTACCTAACAAGAATATTAATGTTTTTTTTTTCTTTAACAAAATACAATTAAAAGTTTTTTAGGAAATCGAAAAAATGTTATTACGTTACAAAATGTTTTTTTTTTTTATTATCAACACTCATCGATTTTATTATATTCTGAACGTATAGCGAGGAATGTATTGATTCTACTTAAATGTGTTTTTAAACAATTTTCCACCAGAAATCTTGCTCCAATCTACAATAACCTTTTTGTAGCGTTTTTATCTAATTAGCGCATTAATCCTCATCAATTAGGGTAATTTCTCTGTTTTCTTCGGAATTAATAACATTGGAAAATCTGGCAATTTTTGTCGATTTCTGGGTTATCTTGGCAACAAGGGGAAAACACGATTGTATTACTCTGTCCAGAATTGTTTTTCATTGGCCGTAGTTTATCGTTGCACACAGATATAAATTAAATTACTTTATGTATAATATCCTCCTTTCCGACTTTCGGCCTTTTATTTATTTCCCCTCCCCTCTTTTGTAGACAACGACAACGATCCCAATCGCGCGCCACCTTGTGATCCGGCCGTGTGCGTTTTGCCCGACTGTTTCTGCTCCGAAGACGGTACCGGAATACCCAATGACTTGCCGTACAAAGAGGTCCCACAGATGATCACCATCACCTTTGATGATGCCATCAACAACAACAACATCGAATTATATAAAGAGATATTCAACGGCAAACGCAGAAATCCGAACGGATGTGACATCAAAGCCACGTTCTTTGTTTCCCACAAATACACCAACTATTCGGCAGTACAAGAGACCCACAGAAAAGGACATGAGATCGCGGTCCATTCGATAACGTAAGTATTTTTTCTTTCGATGTATACATCGCAGTTCAGAAAAAAAAAATAGTTAAATCATCGTACAGTGTTACATTATAGTGTTTCGTCATTTTTAACGTGTTAACAAAAATCGAATACGGTTATTATTATTAATTATAATTACTCGTATCTGTTAGATCGTTAAACGATGACGATTATGGTGAAAAAAAAAACCATTTTATATTCAGAATAGAATAGCGTATAGAAATTAATTTCTTTTGGGTGCATACCGAGGTGATTTGCATATTATACGGGGAAAAAAATCAATCCGGTTTTTCGAACACGAAAACGATTTTGAACGTTTTATAACGAACACTAAATCATGAGTGTTGAGGTTTTAAATATTAAACACGGTCTCCGCGGGGGGGAGGTGTCGGAATATACACTTAATAATCGATTTCCCTTTCTGTAGCCGGTACACATCACGAATATTTTGTTTCGTTAAACTATGTATCGGACCGATATAATACATAACAATAATAATATTATACATACACCAGCTACCTATATAATATACTAATTGAATCTATAGTATACCTAATAATATAATAATATTATGCTATACTATATATTTACGAGTATACACACAGGATATAATAGGATTATTTAAATAATATTATAATCGTGAAAGTGAGTACGAATAAACTGGAAAGTAAAAAAAAAATACTGTCATGTAATAACCCGGTAAGTAGGTGGATACCGGGTGTTATATATTATATATAGATATAGGTAGGTAGGGTATAACAGCGTAATTAATGCAACTATAAATATATTATACTAAAGTGAACGTACAATAATATTATTCTGAGCGAGTCCGTGAAAAATGATTATCGATACGATTTTGAATTTTTTTTTTTTTTTTTTTAATATCTATACAATATTATCAGCTATAAACGCAACACAATTTGCTCTCTCAATTGTCTCTGAACACTTAACCATATGGTAATCGATAACCGTGGGTTTTAACGATAAAAAGTAAAACAGAAATCTGAACATGTTTATTCGCTCCAAGTCAGGAAATTTGGAAGGTACCACCTACTAGAGCTCTCTACTTCGCGTGTACATATTTTAACGTATACACGTGAAATTAACATTCGAAGTTATAAAACCATACACGTGTATTTTTCAACAATATAAATGCCTTCGTTTATCTGATTTTTAAATTGGATTTATGGCTGATTACCGACCGCGATTGGTCGGTTATTTTATAAACTTCATTTAAAAATCAACGTCTATGTTAGTGAGTACGACCCTACGTATAAATATTTACGTATAGAAACATTTGTACTAACGTATACGTTAGTACAATTAGACTGATTTTTTTTAACAATTACGAGTATTACTGTTTAAAATTTGTTTTTTTTAACACTCCATACGCAATATAATACGTATTGGTATTATTATAACTATTTAAAGAAAAATGTTACAGGGGGGGGGGATGTATCCTTCTCATCCTTACCCATTTAACCACGCTTAGCTACGATCAATCAAAGAGTTGTAATCAAAAAACGAGTCTCGTTCTTGTAAAACTATAATAGGTAACCTAGAAATCAACAAAAATAAAACCAACGTATAAGAATATCATCATTATTGTTATTAGGTTTTGTTAGACTTTTTAGAAACACTCCGAGGAGTCTCGACAGCAATTTTTTACATAATAAGTATTACCTGGCGGAAAATCCGCATTATTCAACAGGGTACGGCCCATTAATAAAAAGCGAAAGAAGTGGTTCCAAAAAAAAAAAAAAATAATAATATCTTTGTAAAACTTCTTCGCTACACTATCAGACTATTAGGAAAAAAAAATTATAATCTATGGGTTTTCGTATTATATAGGTACATTAGAATAACGACTGTCGCCGCCTATATTATGTACTCGCCAAGGACACGATAAAAAAGAAGACACCGGTTTGCAATTAATATTATTAAAATATTATATACATTTACATATTATTATTTTCGTAAAATTTCGATTTCATAACCGACGAAATTCCCTTTTTTTTTCATCTTTTTCTTTAAATTTACGACAACCGTTCCGTACAAGGACACCTGCACCTCGCACACACACACACACACACTTACGCGCGCACACACCGATTGCGCAATCCGAGTGCACGAGAAACATAATCATATTATAATAGTAATAAAATAAACCGAACCGATTGTACATCTGTATATTATATTGTTGTTATAATATAGGTTCACCAATCCATATAATACATTTTTTATCGTCATCATATCGCGGGTATACCACCTAGTGCGCGTGGCCGCAGCATTCTTCGTCCGTGCCCGGGGCCCCGGGGGAACGCGAAAAAAAAAAAAAATTGTTAAATACATCGACAAAATACTAACACGGTGCCTCCGCGACGTTCGATATTATTTGTGTTTCGCGTACGTGGAAAACCGGTATAATATTAAAACTCAAGCGAACGGACGAACCGGGTCCGTCGGACGGGTCGTTTTTTTAGCGGTCCATTTTCTCGTTTCGGTCGTGCTGTATAGATGCGCCGCGGTATAATGTGCCCATATAATAATATTATTATAATTATCGTCACCATCACAATATTGTACTCTCCGCGCTAATGGTTCGGACGTATTATTTAGTGACGAGAAAAAAATAAAAAAAAAAAAAAAAAAAAAAAAAAAAATAAATAAAAAATCCAATATAATTTATTATCGTACGCGTGCTCGCGCGAATTCACGTAGGTACGCAGACAGCGGCTATATTATTATTATTATTATTATAATATTAATTGTCAAACCTGTACGCGACTCGCGAGGAATGCGCGTTGCGCAATCGCGTGTGCATTAATGTAATAATATGGAAGATGAGAATCGCTCGCATCAGTTAGGTAGGTAGGTAGACAGGTAGGTTACCCGTCCCGTTCGGAACGAGAGTTTTTTTTTTTTTTTTTTTTATTATCATAACGCAATAAATTATCATCAATATCGAAAACGGTATTGCGCGACGGTCTCGCGCACGTTCTCGAATCCGTTTTCGTCTCCCGCGCCGCGTATCGACGGTCCCTGTATGTCCTCTTCGGTGGGGTCGCTCGCTGCACGGTTTCAACGACACCATAATAACCACGCAGCTATACTCCGTCGATTGGTTTTCACCGGTGGCCCGTGTCCTGAGCAGGCCCGGATTTCGGGAAGCTGTCACCCACCCGACAGGCCCTATTATTGAATATGCCGCCCTCTTCACCGAAAAAAAAAAAAAAAAAAAAAAAAACAACGCTAGTATTCGTTGTAAACTCGGAATTTCAAGAAATTAAATCAATAAACAATAAGAAACATGAAATAAACAACATCAATGCCAAATAATAATAATAGTGCAGTTACACATAAACGATTTTTTTTTTTTTTTTTGAAATTCATTACGAAATTCGCCGCCCTAGGCCCGGGCTTCATGAGCCGATGAAAACAAACGCTGTGGCTATTCCGTGATTAGGACACACCATCAGAATTTAATATGTTGAGTTCTGTACACTGCTGCAGTTGAGGTATCTACTCAAAACGAATAACGCCTTATTTGGTCGATCGAAAGATTCTATTCCATTCTCAAATTTAGAACAGGACGCGCGCAGCAAAAATGTTTGATTATTACGCGTAATCGTTTTTCAATTTTAGTTTAATTTTTCCAAAAGATGGAGATTTATTGCAGCATTTTGAATACACTTTTGGGGGTTCTCCCTGAACCAAACGAGCCAAATTTGGGAATTAAACTTTTTTCTTCAGGTGAATTTTCGGGTTGAATTTCACCGTTTGGTAAAAGAATTTTGTTCTGCTTTGATCACCTCTAGACTCTAAATCTCTCGAATTAAACAAGGAAAATACAATTGTGTATTATGTAAGGATGTTACCCATATCGTATTTTTATATTAAAATTTCATAATTTTGTTTAGTACCGTATAGTATTCGTTATTAGTGTTGTTTTACACAGAATAATTATTCTTAAATACAAAACGGCTGGTGACGTGTGAGACAATATTCGACTCTAATAGTGACGGAGCTCTGCAGTGTTTTTTCTCACTCTCTCTCACTCTCTCTCTCTCTCTCTGTTTTTCCTATACATAATATTTTGCTGAATTCGTACGCTTCATTATATTATATTTGTATTATAGTTGCGACGAATTGCCGCTGTAAGTTGACGGTGTATTAAACATTCTAAAAGACGAACATAATATTATTATAATTTGCAAAAATGTCCATGGGTTATTGATGTTCCGTCGATCCAAAAGTCACGGACAAACATTTTACAATATACCTATTAAATAATATTGAATCAACATTTTTGTCGTGTGACATATTTCAAGGCCACGTCAATTCGTTTAATATCCGCCGTGAACTTTATTCAATTTATTATGTATTATATATACCTGTATATATAAAAAAAAAATTATTAAAAAATTCTACAAGAATAATTTCGTTTTGACGGGATTGACAATAATACATATATTTTCTACTCGGTTTTATTCTTAAAATACCAACTACTTCTTTGTGATATTTATCTGTCTCCCACAGTTATTGCGAAGTTTCGTAAAGATATTTGATCTATTAGAATATAATCCCCATTCACGGGGGTGGGGGGGAGGGTAACTTAAAACTCTGAATGTGCATATTTTTTTTTTTTTTTTATAAAGCATTATTATTATTATTATCAACCGAGATATTACCGTCAGCCGCCAATATAATATGAATTAACTATAGGTACTAAACTAAACAATAAATCTGGTAGAGGACAGAAGATCAAATTTTCCATGTTACTGATACAATAAACGAAATATAATATAGTTTAAAATAACACGTTTTTAATTGTATTGGTCACGTAATTAATTTTCGATACATATATAAACCATGTCATTTTGTCAACCAAAGAAGAAAAATCAAGTTTAACGTTTAAAAAAATTAGATCCCTCGCTACGCTCCGAACCTAAAAGTAGATAGGGACACAAATTATTTTATTACGTCTATTGAATGCTATTGTTACATTTTTAAATTTGTTTTGTAATATTTATTAAATTTATTATGACGGGTACTTTCGGTTTTGTACGCATTGGATAAAAAAAAATCGATTGAAGAAAACTGTTTTAGACGCAAAAAAAAAAAAATACCCGGGCTATATACCTAATAAATAACATGTTTACCATAAAAAAAGGAAAACTCGCGCTATGAAACGTTGGGTTTTAATTTTTCGATACCACAATTACAAATGATAACAAAAAAAAAAAAAATTAATTATTATATTATTGATAATAATATACTCGGACGGGATGTGCCCAATATGCGACTCTACCCCCGAGATCGATCAAACAGATACATTTATAATATTGATAATTGGAATTTCGTCCGGTCGGTCCTTGACCCGAAATAGTATAGACACGCCATATCAAACGAATAGATAAATTAAAAAAAATATTCTATTATAATTATTTTATTATTCGCGGGCGCGTACCGAATTCGTCACCATCGATGTTATTATTTCGCTCCGTAACGAATCGACGACGACGGCGACGTATTATAATATCCATACCTGTGAGTTGTGACGTGTATATTGCAATACGTATAATAGATTTTAAAAAATCTACTTTGGAAAAGTTAGGTTAGGTTAGGTTATATTGATCTAACCTAAATAAGCTTTTGTACGGGCGGGCCATGCGATCGAAGATCACGAATCTGGGTCAAGTGTTAGAAAGCCATGTGTCATAAGGTCGGTTATCATGTTAAAAAATCGAGTGTCATAAAAATCGTAAATATTATAAATATAATTTTTCAAAGAAATCATGTTACTAGTATATAAATTAAAATATGGATGAAGTACAAAACACCTAATTTAGTGTGAATTATGAATTAAAAATGCACAGATGTGTACCTAAGGAGTATTGAAATCTATTATACTATAGCGCAGTAGGTGCAATCAATATTTTGAATAATATTTAATCACTCTAATCTTTTTTTTTAACAAGTAGTAACATTTATGAGACACGTGCATTTTATAACATGTTTCTTTTACGAGACTTGAAATCAGTGGCGTAGCAAAGGAGGTTTCGGGGTGTTGTGATCCCCCCTCTTCCATTGTTTTTGTTTAGGTAAGTTTAAGAAAGCTGTGAATCCCTTTAACCCCTCTCTACCCATTGATAAATCCTGGTTACGCCACTGCTTGTCACATATTACTGAAAACAGATTATACAATAATGGATAGCGCATGATGCGTTACCAATTACGTAGCGTGCAGGCGTTCCCGCGAATGTCCGATATTAGCGGAATACCTCAAAATCGAGAGTAACCGAAATTTCGTGCGACCGACAATGGGTTTTTTTTTGGTTTCGATCGAAATACCCGTACCGTGGCTATGATCATGATGATGGAATGTCCATCATCCCGTGTTAATATTTTCATATTCGAATTTTCACGGGGCTGATGAAAACAATCGTCTCGCGTTCATTACGATATTGGTGTTGAATTTGGTCGTTGCGTAGTACCGACGAGACACTCGTGAATTTCCGACAGTGTCACATTCGTCGGCGGGAATACCGAATAATAATTAAATAATCGTGAAATAATATTGTCGACCGCTTATCGTCGCCCGTGTACATAATACATCGATTCACACAAATAATACGCGTGACGTGCGTAATGCGCGTGTTGCAGGCACAACGACGACGAGCAATTCTGGAGCAACGCCACCGTGGAGGACTGGGCCAAAGAGATGGCCGGCATGCGCATAATCACGGAAAAGTACGCAAACCTGACCGATAACAGCGTGGTCGGCTTGCGGTCGCCTTATTTGCGAGTGGGCGGCAACAACCAGTTCACCATGATGGAGGAACAAGCTTTCCTGTACGACTCGTCCATCACCGCGCCACTGTCCAACCCGCCTCTCTGGCCGTACACCATGTACTTCCGCATGCCCCACAGGTGAGAGCCGTCACGACAGTATCTATACGCGGGATAAGGGACTTATCTATACAGGGAGGTAACTTACTGGAATATTGCTGGGCCAGCTTGCGATGTCATGCGCCCTGTAATATCTATTGGATCCCGTTGAACTATTTATTATTATATTTTTTTACGGCCGTTCGCCATTAATATACTCTTGTTAAAAAAAAATCAAAACAAATTATTATAACAGATAGGGTGGGGCCTACATAGGAAGTAGAACGGAATTTTAAATTTCTATGTAACAGTATTATACGTTATATAGAAGTATATAGGTATATCGTACACCGCTTATAGGTACCGGTTAACGATATTATTATGTTATTCAATCGGCGAAAGTTGTCGGGTTTCAAGGACTAATGGGCGCGTTCTCCTGTACATGGTTTTAAATACAGCTCTATTTATTATTAAATAAACAATTTGATATTAATAAAAAAAAAAAAAAATAATAATAAAAACGATGTCAAATTTTTTCTCTCTTTCGGACTAAATGGCCAAGTGTACACGGTTACGTATACGGACACCGGTTTTCGGAATATAACATTTTATTGTATGTTGTACCGAACGCGCGGGGGTTTCGCTCGAAATCATGTTGGAGTGCAATAGTTATATCGTATCGCCTTTATTTACGGCCACGGTTTTTGATGCTCGCAGATGTCACGGAAACTTGCAACATTGTCCGACGCGTAGCCACGCCGTATGGGAAATGGTAATGAACGAGCTGGACAGACGAGAGGACCCGAATTTCGACGAATACCTGCCCGGCTGTGCCATGGTGGACTCGTGTTCCAACATCCTTTCCGGCGACCAGTTCTACAACTTTCTGAACCACAACTTCGACCGGCATTACGACCAGAACCGCGCGCCCATGGGCCTGTACTTCCACGCCGCCTGGCTGAAAAACAATCCCGAGTATCTGGACGCGTTTTTGTTCTGGATCGACGAAGTGCTGGCCAACCACAACGACGTGTACTTCGTCACCATGACGCAGGTGATCCAGTGGATCCAAAAGCCGAGGATCATTAACGAGGTGAAGAACTTCGAACCGTGGAGGGAAAAGTGCGTGGTCGAAGGGCCGCCGGCCTGTTGGGTACCGCACTCGTGCAAGCTCACCAGCAAAGAGGTTCCCGGGGAAACCATCAACCTGCAAACGTGCGTCCGATGCCCAAACAACTATCCGTGGCTCAACGACCCCACCGGAGATGGTTTCTTCTAAGTCACACGCACATTGTTCCCCGATCTCACACACCCACACTCAACAAATCGACATTTTTCACAATATTCAATTTTATTATTAATTTTTTTTAATTATTAATTATTGGCGCTGTTATTTTTGTTTTAACTTTCCCCCGCCCTCCGCGTCTGATTTCCAAGACAATGCGTTTGCTATACCAGCTATCTATATGTATTACGTCCCCGTTATTCTTTTCCAATGCGAATTATTATTTAATCAACAAATTTCTATAGACTCATTATGTGTATCGGGTTTCTTAATTAACTGTGATTTTTGTTTAGGTCGGCGCGGTTGTTGTCGCGGTCGCGACCGCACCGCGCCGTCACCATTATGTAACGGCGGCATAGCGCGTGTTACTTATTTTATATTGTAAAATAAATTCGTCGTCGAACATCGATAATATATTAATTACATTTTTATTTTTTATTTTTTTGTTCACTTTGCTCGTAAGAAAGAACTCTGAAAAAAAATTATACCATTAAGTGTATTTTTGTAAAAAAAAAAAAAAAAATATATATGAACGAAAAGTTGTATCTATATAGATAGTAAATAAATTATATATTAATATTTAAAAATATGATGTCTTGTGATTTATAACGAAGAAAAAAAAACTAGTTTTCAATTATTATTATTATTGTTTTAGATTATTAAATATTGACTTTAAACAGCAATAATTAAATCTCTGTTCTCTCGCGTTTGAACGAAAAGTATGAACAACGGTCGTAACAGCAAGGATCGAGGCTATTTATAAAAACAACATTTGAAAACAAAAAAGTATGCAGAATTATCATTCTACGGGTAGGTACGTGGTTTTATGTTACCAAGGCAAATGAACGAAGAAGGACGTGTAATAAGAACAGTTACAAACAAAAAAATTATTTATCACCATTCTATAAATTATAGAATCAAATAATACAGTGATGGATAGGAGTGTTGGGATATATTATAAAGGGAAGAAGCAGAGATGATACTGTATGGGCAATATTGCGGAGTGGGAGCCAGAAGAGAAGATATAGACCGCTAAGGCATATTATACGGGATAGTGGTTGGATTTAGTAGATGCAGATCTAAATAAACTAGAGATGGGCAATACCAAAAATTTAGAATTCGATAGTCGACTCTCCTCATTGTTCACAAAAAAATCGTATGAAAAATATTCCTGTATATCAATATTGATCATTAATACGGTTTTATTGTTTTAAAACTGCACTGTTTATAATTTAGATACAAAAACGCATATAAAATAACGAATACTAATATTTTTAGACCGATCTATTTAACCACGGATAATAAAATATCGAATTCGATATTCAATTCAAAAACTCAATTTCGATGTTCAATACTTCAGACAGTATGGACTTATCGAATCGTTAAATTTATATTAACAAATCTATTATATATTATTATCCCAACAAAATAACAATAAAATAGAATTATATACAGATAATACTGATGAGTAAATAATATTATTTCGAGTAATATGGAAATAATATGTCGTTCGCTGCCTAGTTAGTGTAGGCGTAATCGATGGTGTATTGGTAAATGAATATGGGTATGAAAATCCAATCAATGTTATTAATATTTTTGTTTTCCGATCAAACAAAGAGATAATCGTGCATAATATGTTTTATAACAAAACAGAACCGTAACTGACGTTTAACATAACGAAATAGGTAATGCATTTTAACAGACAAAACAAAAACGGATGGATATACTTCGCACCGCGGGTGAACCACTGTTGTAGGTGGAAAGTTGGGAAGGTAGGATATATTGAAGGGAATTTAATTTATATCTGTACGCGACGGTTAATCATTTCTAACGATAAACGATTCTTAGCAGAGCTCGATCAATAGTATTGCTTTTTCAACAATGTACGTTTTCATGACAATAACGATTGTTTCGAAAAAGATTAAAATAATAAAACTTAATAATAACAAAGTATAAATAAAAACGGCTGCCAACGACAACCTTATTTTTAACTTAAATGATGCTCTACTGATTCCAAAAAGTTTTTATACAAGTCATTTGTTTAAGAATAAATATTACAAGACAAATTTGACTGTATCATGCAATTCGAATGACCTTGCATACACTTGGAAGATCTCTATGTATGATTTTTGTCGGTCACGTCTTGAATACAGTTGGATATTGTACAACTATATAGTGACATTATGCCAAATCATTACGGCAACGACATAATGACTGCAAAATGGTGTTTTGATGCAGCGAGACGCTGAGATACGAATAATTTGCACACCGAAACGATAGTCGAAAATACGAAATCGTAAAAATTACGATATTTCAAAGCGACATATAGTATACATACGAATCCGGTGTAACAAATGCCGGCTTTGATCGGTGCTCGGTCAAATACTATAATGCGGTGATAAGCGTGTTTAGATTTTTGGAGTTGGAGGGGCGGGCACTAATATATTTTTCAGCTATCCTCACAATAGTGAGGCACTTATGGCACTTAAACAACTCATTGACTTGCTAATAGAGTAATAACTCTATTATTGTGTGTTTTATTGAACAAATATTACATATTATCAGGGGCGGATTAGCGAGTTTTTTCGACCCGGGAAATATGGATCAAACCAGCGCATGCATCTCAAATATAAATTTCCTCCTCTCTCCTCCACCAAAAATAAGTTCATAATTATACTTAAATGTCAACATTTGTTTAGTTTCACCCCTAAATAAATACAATATATAATACTTATACTTATAGCTATAGTCAGATAATCTTAACTTGTTCTAACATGAACTTGAAGTTTAATCTTATTACATTTTTAAATAAATACATAAAATATCCTAAAATATTTCTTAACCAAGAGACGTTCAATTTAAACTTTCATAAAAATACTAAAAACATTTTATTATTTCTCCAACTGTTCATAATATATTGCACTGTCTTTACTGTATAAAAACAATTGACAGCTCTCTCCACAGTCATTAATTTTAAGTTTCTTAATTAGATAATTAAATTAATAATAATTACATTTTTAATACATAAATATATTTTAATTCAAATTAATCATAATTAAGTGCACGCATCTTAATAACTAATTTCTCTAAGAAGCCATTTACTCTTGTTTTTCTATTGAAAATAATTAAATTACTTGGTCAAGATCTGTATTACTCAAAAGATCAAAAAACTGTTCAAAAATAGTTGTAATCGACTTGGTAACTGATTAATGTAAAAAGTTCAAAATCAAAATACATACATAAAATGATATAAGATACGGTTATCAATATTATCATGCCAATATTATATATAAATGTGTCAAATACCAGCTAAAAGCTATTATTATTTCTAAACCTTGATTTAATATTACATACTATATAATAATAAATCCGTGTTAATATTATCGATTGACAATTATTATGATAATATTCATATTCATAATAATAAATTATTGATATTCTTATCATTGTAAAAAGAGGTGATACTCGGGATGAGAGCAGCCACTTTTGCAGGTGAGAAGTTGGAAAATAGGATACATAAGATTATTTCATTTATATCTGTAAGCAACGATAACTATTGCTTTACGAAAATCGATTCCGAGCGCAGTTCTGTAATACATAATTTGAATACCCTCATTTTTTTTTTTTTTTTTTTTTTTTGGCGATTTTTGTTTAAATTTGATTTCAAAACGCTTATTAAAAAAATAAAAAAGTTCGCCCGACAATATTGGAAATTTTACTACCTCTAGGTAAGTCCAATTTAAGTATTATTACCAAGCTTCAAATTTCTACGTGTATTCATAACTGAATTACAAAACTCTCAACAATTAAAATTATTTATGAACTCAAAAGTGGTTCAAAAAATTGTCGATAATACCACAAAAAATTAATTCATAGAAGCAACAAAAAAGGTATCTTGTGATTTTTCGATTAAATCATTTTTTCTGTTAGAAAACGTCATCCGTGTTTTTATTAAATAACGAAAACTTGGAAATAGTACGTTTTCCTAGGTTTTTTCCCTCCTAAGTGGTTTTATTTAAAAAATGGTGTCAAAAATAAAAAATTGACTTAATTTACAATCTAGACAACTGGATCTTTCAGAAAAGGTACTACACGTAAATATCAAAGTAACTTTACTAGGAAAAAACGTGTCCACAGACTAGAAGAAGGAAAAAATAAAAATAAACAACGTTGCAAAACCAATAACTCCTTCCCTACACTCGGAATCTAAAAATTTATAATTTAAAATTTATTTTTTTTTCTCATTAATAATTGTAATATACACAATTGTCCATTAATATTCAAACATTATATTCATTTTTTTCATTTGGCGGAAAAAGGAAAGGTACGATTTTGGCGAAAAAGAGAATCGACCAATTTTATGATTTGGCGGAACAAGGAAAAGTACGTTTGTGGAGGAAACCGTCCATGCTAATAAATGTTCTTTAGTAGGCAGTTGCTCTACTAAATATCAAAGACACTGGCGGATACAAGGAAATAGGTCCCGTTGGAATATTAGTTTTCGGGGCCCTACTAATGAATTCGAGAATATATAAATTATTTACATTTTTCGGAATCTAAAAAAATAAACATCTTAGTAAAACCAATAGCTCCCTAGGTACGCTCGAAATCTAAAATATCCAAGACCTATTGGCCATATGAGGTCTGTCGGTTATCAATATATTGTTTTCGATTCCAAATAAATGCATCTATTAATCGATATTTTGTTATTTTTATTTGTATAGGTAATGTTGATTTGTGTTCATTAATACCGTTTTGTGTTTGCTCTGTCAATAAATAACGATTCTTTATTAAAAACTATGTCACGAACAAATTTAGAGAAAATCTTAATCGCTTTTTTTTTTAAAAGACGACTTTGCAGTACAGGAACTGAACGGTTAGGCACCGAGATAATGACGATTTGAACTCAATAATATTGTACGAAAATGACGACGTTCGTGCAGTGTAAATAATAGCTCAATTGAAACTGTGATTTCGATATTAAATATGGCAGATGTGTAAAATCCAAGTAGAGGTACTTCGGTACGAGTACAATGCACACGCGTTATACAATAATTTTTATTTTGCATTGCGCGTTTTCGTTAAAACATCGTTAACAATAAATTGGCACGACTAACAGGTATTATAATGCATTAAGACGTTAAGTAGATTTAATAATATAAAGATGTACGCACTTATTATATTATAGGTATAATATATATAGAATGTTTTCAATCTATCGCACCATTGTTATAACTTATAAGTATTGTGAATGTTCGATTTATTCCGTACGTTGACTTCGGCCCGAGTCCGTGCGACGACGACCGCGGCCAACGATGATTACAAATCAGTGGTCAACAAGTGGACCGAGGGAAAATATATAATAATAATATTATCGTCAACGGGTGACGATATCACGGGAACGCTATGGCCGGTAGTGGTTGTTTGGAGCACGAAATTCGTTTTAAAAAATTGTAACAATTAATTATTATTAAAAATTATATAAAAAATAATTATCGCGTAACCAGATCCGTCGTGCATACGACAATTTGTTTTCCTTTTATAATTTCCGAGGCATACACCTATTTAATAATATCAATTTTAAACGAGAGTTTGTTTGCATGTTTTTTGTCAGTGATATAATTTCTCGGTAACAAT